TTGTTCATCTTTGCATCGTCTTGCAAGTGGTGAATTATTTTTTTCTGCATCCTAGTTGTTTTTAAGAGATCTTTTCTTATCTTTTCACTAGCTGCACCAGCGTCTTCAAGATCTGAAACTCTGTCTTCACTTTCACTCAAATGGTTTTGCAAGCTTGTGATTGAGATTTTAAGTTACTCTATATCTCTTTGGCTCTGTATCATATGATCTATTTCTTCCTGTATTGCTCATTCAAGGAATCCATCATTTTTCTAATCTCCTCTATTATTTTATCAGTGTCTTCTTGATAAGCAGTTATTAATTCTTTTACTACAGAGAGTGTTTCTGATCTGAGTTCCACTGTACCTTTCTGCAGTTGTTTCTTTTCTTTATAGGCTGTTGTTTCAGGCATTTCAGCTGTGTGATTCCCAATTTCTTCTGTGCTAGTGTCCTTGCACTTGTTCTGGGTGGGCTCAGGGCCTGAGATTGCGTTTTGCTCCTTCTCTTTGTTATTTTGTATAGCACTGTCCTCTGATCTTTGGTATAGGGCTTTGGTGCAGTTATAACCTTAGCGCCTACTGAAATTCAGGTGCAGATCTACGAAGTTTGAATTCATCCAGTTGTGCCTGGCGTGGGTCTGGCTGCTGTGTTCAGCTCCTTCCTGCTGCAGCCCTTGGAAGTGAACCTGTTTGTACCCCTCTGGCAAGATGTTCTGCTTATGGATTAGCTGTGTGGTTCTGGCCCCTAGACTCTCTGCATGGGATTCAGCTGCAGAGTTTCAACGTAGGCCTGTATGCCAGGCCTGGGCTGGATCTGGGAGGTCCAATCAGTGCACCAGATTGTGGGAGCTCTCCCACACACTCACCAGGCCTGAGTTTGGGCTCATAGGTCTGTTTCCTGAGCTGCGGGCATGAAAAACAGAAGTCCAGATCAACAAGCTGTCTTCGAAAAGCCCAACCCAGTGACTGCATGAGGCTTTGGGGTGACATCCAGACACAAATCATAAGATTTTTTTAGACACCCCTCATTCTAAGGACTGCCCAGCTGTCCATCCAGCTAATCCACCCTTGTCTATCTCTGCCTTACCTGAATGGCTGCTACCTCTGAGTGGATTTTGCATAATCATTTCTTGGTGGCACATAGAAAGGAACACATCAGATTTGTCTCAGCTTCATCCTTCATTTCCCCAACACACACACACACACACACACACACACACACACACACACCCCTCACACACCTACCAAGGAAGAACTACCAAAGAAACATAGTTTCCAGGTCAATCTAGATGAAGAGTGTGAGGGAGGTAATTAGAACCCACATCCTTTCTAGACCTGTGATATCTTAAAGTGCTAAGTCTACTTCAGACAAATTACAAAACCCAGGACAGGGGCACGAGGTTGGAAAGGCTGATGCTTCCTACTTTTCTGGTCCCTGCACCTTTTCCCTCCACCTCCTACCTGATATCTGAGCAGTATGTCTTAACAGTGGCTTAAAAAATTCTAAGTCTGTCTTTGTTGATGTACAAAACACCCCATAAAGTAGCCTGGCTGAGTGTTAAAACCGCAGACTGTGAGTTTGAATCCTGCCTCTTGTCTTTACTAGCCCAGGGCCTTGGGCAGGTTGCATGTTCTCTCGAAAACTTGTTGCTTCCTTTGCAACATAAGGGGAAATAATGAGACCTTACCTCTCAGGTTCTGCAAGAAACAGATGTGAGAGATTCATGGGAGAAAGACCATGAAGAAAAAGGGGGAGGTCCCAGGAGTATCTGGGAGTGTTCAAGGCCTTCAGACTACGAAGCCAGTCAGACTGCTGTGAAAGGCGAAAAGAGGACCAAGAAATGACTAAGAAGAGCCATGCCTGCAGGGCAGCCCGGCAGTCTCATTCAAGCTAGAGGGACATCCCAAGCAAAGACTGCCTTGAGTATCAGTTGGGCAGCAATGGCCTGCCCGAGGCCCCCCTCCTGCCCAGCTGTAAAGCAGCCTGTAGAGCACATGACAGCTGCCACTGTCCTCCAATGATCCTCCCTTCTGCAGGTTCTCTTAGAACAATTCTGAGTTGAATTGAATCATTCCATGGCCAGCATCCCTGGGAGTTCATTAAAGCCCTCAGGACAACATGTGGTACATAGGAAGTCCTAGGAGCGTTATATCTGCTGCCATTGTCATATGGCCTGTGTTATAATTCACAAAGCTCTTTCGTATAATTTCACTCAGTCATCACAACCAGCCGTTCCCACTGGTATCTTCCTGAAGAAAAATAGCCCATATTTCACAAACATGTATCATTTGTGTCTCACTTTCTTGTAAGAACATATTCCTGAACAACTGTTTTTCAGAATGAATCACACAAAGAACACAATTAGATCAAAAGATTCCAATGAGTACCTTACGAACACACTAAGCACTGTAACTACTTCCATCAAACAAGAGATTTATGCCTCGGTTCCACAAGACCAATATTCCACTAGCTTTATGTTTATGTGGTCCTTTTTATGTTATAACAAAAAGCATCTATAAAATAAGGGAAGCTTTGCTACTTGTATATTAACTGTACTGTATAATTTATGTGTGGCCCAAGACACGATGGCCCAGGCAAGCCAAGGCGGACACCCCTTCCAGCCGCCCGAACATTTTCTCCATGACACAATCCCCACCCACGGCCCAAGGGCAATCACTTCACTCCTTCTGTGCCTCCATGCGCCACACCACACATATTCCGAGCAGCAGGAGCCTGCCCTGCAGTAGAGTTACCCTTAGCTTCACGCAGCCTGCAGTAGACAGTGAGCACCCTGAGGGCACTCACCCTGCTCCTGCACCAGCGAATGCCTGACTGGGTCTCCCTGTAGCAAATGATTAATAAATGTGCCATCTCTTTAATTTATGAATTGCAAATATTTTAACACAGTGAATCTGTTTTTCATTTTTTATTTTCAAATAATGTGGATTTGCATAGAGTTGTCAGAAATAATATGGAGAGATCCTACTTAGCCTTCCCTGGGGTGACCCAGCAGTAGCTTCTTACAGAACTTTGTGTGATACCACCGCCAGGAAATTGGCCTTGATACAATCCACAGGCCTTATTCAGGGTGTGTGTTTCCCTTCCTGCAATTTATGATGTGTGTAGATTCCTGTACCTCACAGCGGTCAAGATATGGAGCAATTTCACGACAGGTGTATTTCATGCTCCCCTTTTATAACCACCTCTACATCCTGCCTTTTCTCTCTACTCCTGTGTTTACTGACCTGTTCTCTGTCTCTATAATTTTATCATCTCAAGAATGCCATATACTGTAGATGGAACCATGCAGTGTGTAGCTTTGGGGAGTCTTTCACACATAACAATTCTCTTAAGATGTATCTAGCTTTAACATGGGTTAATAGTTTGTTTCTTTTTACAGTTGTTCAGTAGCATTCCATATTATATATTAACTCTTAGGATGGGTGAACCAGTTTATTTAACTATGTATTTGTTAAAGTCATGTTAAGTTTTTCCCAATTGGGAGAGGCTCTTACACATAGCGCTTCTATGAACATAGAGAAAGAAAGTAAGAAGGAAGGAATGAAAGGAAGGAAGGAAGGAACGAAGGGAGAGAGAGAAAGAAAGCAAAAAGAAGGAAGGCAGGAAGGCAGGAAGGCAAGGAAGGAAGGAAGGAAGGAAGGAAGGAAGGAAGGAAGAAAGAAAGAAAGAAAGAAAGAAAGAAAGAAAGAAAGAAAGAAAGAAAGAAAGAAAGGAAAGAAAGAAAGAAAGAAAGAAAGAAAGAAAGAAAGAAAGAAAGAAAGAAAGAAGCAAGCCTGAGTGAATCCTTGGGGAATCTATGGGGAAATAGTGAGGTAGGAAATCTAGTGAGCAAAGTCATTGACACAACCTATGACTGCTATGATGGAAAGATCTGTGAGAGGCAGGGTAGAGGGTTACCCGCCACAGGCCAGGGAGTGAGACAACATCTTTCTTAAACAGAAATTTCTAATAGTATTGTGATGTCTTTGTATCGCCCAGGACCTACATAGTGTGAGACATGTGGTAGATAAGATTATGTTGAGTTAATGAATGAAAACATGAACAATCCTTGGAGTCCACACCAAGGGTCTTGGGTAAGGCCCATCTCGATCTAGATGCTGCCTGGACTCAGTTTACAGTGATTCTTAACCAGGATCAGTTTTGCCCACAAAAACTTTGGCAGTGTCTGAAGGCAGTTTTCACTGCCACGGGTGCTGCTGAACTCTAGCAGCTAGAAGCTAGGTATGCTGCAAAGTATCCTAGCGTGCAGGTCAGCTCTTGCACCCAAGCCAAGCCATCAGTAGTGCCTCTGTTGAGGGCTCCTGAAATAAACTCAAAGCCTGCAGCCAGAGTTGAAAGACAAGGTGTGAGAGAGGATTACCTGGGTCAAAGCTCCATTCACTCTTAAAGTGAGAACCACACAAGAGCTCATCCTTTGGGCTTTGCCAGCAACGGATGACCCTTCTGAGGGTGGGGGACCCACCAGCCTCCTCCTCCTCTTCCTCTCTGATCCCCTGGTTCACCCCACTAGGCCTAGATACCTGTTTTCTGAAACAGTGGGAGCAGGCTGGTAAGTGAATGCTATCTGTTCCAGGAGCTGCTCAGAGACCCGCTGTATATTGGCCTGAAACACCAGCGTGTGCGCGGGAAGGAGTATGACGACTTGCTGGACGAGTTCATGCAGGCCGTGACAGATAAGTACGTGGGCCAAGCTGTGCCTTTCAGAAGAGCACAGACTCTTCACAGATGCTGTGACTGGGACCAATGTCCACTTTTGGCAAAATCACAGACAAGAGGCTGTAGATGTGTGCTTTGATGTGCGGTCTGAAAAATTCCAACATGACCCCATGTCCTTGGAAGAAAAGAGGTGCATGGGGTGATTCTCTGGGAGCAGTGATGGGAGGGAAAGGGAGAGGTGGCTGGCTGCAGGCTCCGTGGTCAGAAGGCACTGAAGTATCTGCTGTTTTAAGGAGGAAAACCCCCTTGGCTTGAACTGTTCTGTGTTGTCCGCATAACTGGGGTTTTGCAAGTGGTGGAGAAAGATGTCCTGAGAAAACCGCTGTGGAAGAGAGCTCACCATGTTTGTCGGCATCTTCCACCTAGGTGTAAGGACAAGGTCGTGTGCATAGGCCACTGCAGCAGGCCACATGGGCTCTGAGCCCCGGAGATTCATGAAGCCTCACTTCACTGCAGTGCAGGATTCTGGCAGCTCTGCCCTTTGACCTGCCCCATCTGTCTTGGCCACTGCCCATGCCATGGCTGGTCTGCTGCTGGGTGGGTGCCCACCAGTACCCGCCCTTCAGTTGGGCAAACTAGAGTTTCAGCAACTCACTGGTCATGGAGAACAAGCAAGTGAAAATAGGAAAAATTAATATTGTTGTCATGAGGGTTGGGAATGATGATCCTGTAAAAAAGAGGAAATTAATGATGGAGCATCGGATGGGGCAGAAGTTCTTGAGAAAGCTAGAAAGTAATACTCTAGCATTGCACGGAGAGCTTAAGTTTAGAGCACAGCAAGCATCCCCAGCGTGAGAAGGACACAGAAGCAGCAAGTGGTGGAAGGAGCGTTGTAAGTCCGATGTAGTTGAAAATAGGGTCGTCAGGTAAGAATAAGGACAGAGAATGAAGCCGCAGAGGTTTAATAATAGAAGAGGTGGGGAGTGGGGGTCGCGACGTCGGGGCCCCCGTCCTGGGGGGCCCACTCTGCATGCGGTGGCTGGCGCTGAGCCCCCAGGGACCGAGGGCCAGGGGCTAACGCGGCTTCTGCACCGCAGCGCTGTCGGGGGAAGAAGGGAATTTAAACTTCTCAAGAGCATGCCTTAAAACCGAAGACAACTGACAGCCAGGGGCCATCTGCAGTTGATGGCTCCTGGGACAGTTAGAGATCATGGCTCGAGCCTATCTTTTCCTAGGACTGCTACAGAGATGTTTGACGTAAAGGCGTGAGCGGAATACGTGGTGGAATGGGCTGCAAAGGACCCGTACGGTTTCCTTACGACGGTTATTTTGGCCCTTACTCCGCCGTTCCTAGCAAGGGCCCTCTTGTCCTGGAAATTGGCCAGGATGATTGAAGCTCTGCAGAAGGAAAAAAAGAGAAACAAAAACGTCAAGAAAATACTGCAAAAGCAAAACGACTGAAAGGATTGAAGGGATGAACAGGTTCTGCAAGAATGAATAAAAACAAGAAATGTCGTTAGGGAAACTATGCAGCTTTGGAAGGACCCCGTAAGGTTTCCTTGGACGTTATGGAAGTCATTGCTGTCTGTGCAGAAGAATCGTCCTGCAATCTGACCTCGATACTGCGGTAACCTTTAGGCCTGGCACAGATGTCTCTTGGTGACCAC